TGATCTTGATTTTGATGCTATTCTGTCTGCCATGTATTATGTGACTATTAGTGATGAGGGTGACTGTTACCCGGGCATTGAGACTGCTGCTCTAGGTACTGGTGCGGCTGCTGCCCTAGGTGCTTGCGACGCTGCTACTCTAGGTGCTAGTGCGTCTGCGTCCTTAGGTACTGGTGAGTCTGGGCTCTCAGGTACTGCGTCGACTTCGGCCCCTCTCACCTTCACCCTTGACTCTGGAGCTTCTCGCTCCTTCTTTCGGGACCGCACCACACTCACGCCGCTTAGTCGGCCGGTTGCGGTGTCTCTCGCTGACCCCTCTGGGGGTCCTGTCCTGTCTCACTTTTCCACAGTTTTCTCGTGTCCGGCGGCTCCCTCTGGCACCCTGTCTGGTCTCTACCTACCCTCGTTCTCCACGAACTTGGTGAGTGGTGCTGACCTACAGGATGGGGGAGTGCACTAGTTCACTCCTGCGCGTCAGCGAGTGACGCACTGCACCGAGGCTTGCACAGGCCGACACTTGGCTACATTTACACGTCAGCCAGGGTCGAGCCTGTACACACTGACTACTGCGTCTCCTCCAGTTGCTGAGTCTGGTAGGGTCGCTGCGTAAGGTCAGGTGTTTGCTGCAGCGTCCAGGTCTGGTCCTGAGTCTGCCCCCTGTTCGTGTCGTCTCCTCTCTCACGAGACTCTCATCTCGCACCACCGCCTTGGTCACCCCTCTCTGCTTCGGCTCAGAGGCATGGCCTCTCGTCTCCTTGTTTCTGGTCTCCCCAGGTCCCTCCCTCCCCTTCCTCAGGGGCCTGGCCCTTCCTATGTCCCCTGTGTTGAGGGGCGCCAGAGGGCTGCCCCTCACTCCTCTCAGTTTCCTCCGACAGAGGCCCCGCTGCAGACGCTTCACATGGACGTGTGGGGCCCAGCCCGCGTCCGTGGACAGGGTCACGAGAGCTACTTCCTGCTTGTTGTTGACGACTACTCGCGTTACACCGCAGTCTTCCCCTTGCGCATCAAGGGTGATGTCACTGAGGTGCTGATCGACTGGATCCGCGCAGCTCGTCTCCAGCTCAGGCAGAGCTTTGGCTCCGACTTTCCTGTTCTGCGTCTGCACTCGGACAGAGGCGGAGAGTTTTCCTCTGGCCTTCTGAGAGCCTATTGTCGCGCACGAGGCATCCGCCGGACCTTCACGCTTCCGGACTCTCCGCAGCAAAATGGGATCGCTGAGCGCCGCATTGGCATGGTCATGGACGTCGCTCGTAATTCCATGATGCATGCGGCTGCCCCCCATTTTCTGTGGCCGTTTGCGGTGAGGTACGCGGCGCATCAGATCAACCTCCACCCCAGGGTCTCTAGGCCGGAGACCTCCCCAGCCTTGCTGTGGACAGGGAAGGTTGGCGATGCGCCGGCGTTCCGGGTCCGGGGATCTCGGGCGTTTGTCCGCGACTTGTCAGCGGACAAGCTGTCCCCTCGTGCTGCTCCTTGCGTCTTCCTAGGGTTCCCCCCTGACGCGCCTGGGTGGCAGTTCTACCACCCCACCTCTCGCCGTGTTCTGTCCTCCCAGGACGTCACGTTTGACGAGTCAGTCCCCTACTACCGCCTCTTCCCCTACCGCACTCCGTTCCTTCCCCCGCCCCCGCTCTTCCTTGTCCCAGGTCCCCCCCTCGGTAGACCCCCTCCCCCCTCAGGGTCCTGCCCCTTCAGGTGTGTCCCAGGTGGACGCAGTCGAGCCTGTCGAGGTTACTGGTGACTCTGGTGCTGCTGAGGGTGCTGAGCCTGGGGGTGCTGAGCCTGGGGGTGCTGAGCCTGGGGGTGCTGCGACTGGGGGTGCTGCGCCTGGGGGTGCTGAGACTGGGGGTGCTGAGCCTGGGGGTGCTGAGACTGGGGGTGCTGAGCCTGGGGGTGCTGAGCCTGGGGGTGCTGAGCCTGGGGGTGCTCCGCCTGGGGGTGCTACGCCTGGAGGTGCTGTACCTGGGGGTGCTGAGACTGGGGGTGCTGAGCTTGGAGGTTCTACGCCTGGAGGTCCTCCGGGTACTTCGTCTCGCCGGGAGCCACTCTCTCCACCGGAGCTGCGCGAGTGGTTTGCCCGGCGCTGGACGCGTGCTGCTGGAGCTGGGGGTTCTTCGGCTGCTGAGGGTATTGGTGCCGCTGGTCCCGGAGGTGCTCGTACTGGGAGTACTGGAGCTGTTGCGCCTGCGGGTTCGACTGGAGCTGGTGCTGCTGCGGGCGTTGGTGCTGAGCCTACTGCTCGCGGTCCTGCTGGAGGTTCTGGAGCTGCTGGAGGTGCTGCTGGAGCGGGTGCTCCTGCTGGGGGTACTGGTGCTGTCCCTGCTGTGTCTGGCGTCGCCGCGCGGCCTCGACCGTACTTGGTTCCACTCCTGCAGCAGGTTCTTGGTCTTCCACCTTCTACAGGTCCTCCTCCTTCTTTAGAGTGTCCACAGCCTGTCCAGTCACAGCTACAGTTACAGCCTGGCTCTCCTCTCCCTGCTCCCTCTCCCTACACTAGTCCTACTGGAGGTCTTGCTTAGCGTCGTGAGCCTGCGTCTCCCCCTGCATCGCCTGTCCGTGCAGCTCGCCCTAGTGCTCGTGGTTCGCGTCAGCGTCCTCCTCCTCTCCCTCGCACGCACCGGATGTCTTTGCGTCCGTCCACTCCTCCTCTGCGTGCCCCTTTGCCTTCTCCTCCTCAGTCCTCTCTTCCTACTCTTGCCGACTCGACGTCGGACTCTCTTCGTGCTGCCAGTCCTACTGTCACACGTCTCCTTGCTACTGTCGTAAGTGACCCTTCTTTCGAGTCCACTACTGCGTCTGCCCTAGTTACTGAGCTCGTTGACTTTGCTGCTCGCTGTCGCCTAGACTACACTGCTAGTCTTGTCGCTGAGTCTGAGTCTGTCTGTCCTCCGTCCGTCGGGGTTGAGTGTGCCCTTGGCACGGACGTCCTTGAGGACAGGCAGGAGGAGTTCCAGTGCTTGGCCACTGCTTCACCTCATCTTGTGTCCGTACTGCTTAGCCATGAGGGAGACCCGGATGCACTTGACATCCCGACTCCGCGCTCTTACGCGGAGGCGATAGAGGGTCCCTACTCTTCTCAGTGGCAGGCAGCTATGGATGAAGAGATGGCTTCCTGGAAGTCCACAGGCACCTACGTTGACGCTGTCCCCCCTCCTGGGGCGAACATCGTCAGTGGCATGTGGATTTTCAGGGTGAAGCGGCCGCCGGGTTCTCCGCATGTCTTCAAGGCACGTTACGTGGCTTGTGGCTTCAGTCAGCGGCAGGAAGTTGACTACTTTCATACCTTCTCTCCCACCCCGAAGATGACCACTCTTCGGGTACTGCTGTACGTTGCTGCTCACCGTGACTACGAGCTGCACTCTCTCAACTTCAGCACAGCTTTCTTGCAGGGCAGCCTGCACGAGGAGATCTGGCTGCGCCGCCCACCTGGCTTCACTAGGTCGTTCCCTCCTGGTACCCAGTGGAGTCTCCGGCGTCCAGTCTACGGTCTCCGCCAGGCGCCACGTGAGTGGCACGACACACTGAGGACTACGCTTGCGGCTCTTGGGTTTGCTCCTTCTACTGCCGACCCGTCGCTGTTTCTGCGCACTGACACCTCTCTGCCGCCGTTCTACATCCTCGTGTACGTCGACGACTTGGTCTTTGCCACAGCTGACACAGCTGGACTCGCCTACGTGAAGTCTGAGCTGCAAAAGAGACACACGTTCACAGACCTGGGTGAACTGCGCAGCTACCATGGCTTGCAGATCACTTGGGACAGAGCACGCCGCACCATTACCCTGACTCAGTCACACATGGTGCAGCAGGTCCTTCAGCGCTTCGACTTCACGTACTCCTCGCCTCAGGCCACTCCTCTGCCTACTCACCACTCACTCTCAGCTCTGCCTTCGGATGAGTCCACAGAGTCGAGTGGCCCGTATCCAGAGCTTGTTGGCTGCCTCATGTACCTGATGACCTGCACACGACCTGACCTTGCATACCCTCTTAGCATTCTCGCACGCTGTGTTGCTCCTGGGAGACACCGACCGGAGCACATGGCTGCAACGAAGAGGGTGTTGCGCTACTTGTGCAGTACGTCGGGCATGGGGCTAGTGCTTGGAGGGCGCATTCCAGTGATACTCACTCGGCACGCAGACGCTTCTTGGGCTGATGACCAGGCTACGCAGCGGTCGTGACAGGGTTACACCTTCAGCCTTGGTTCCGGCTCTGTCTCGTGGCGGGCTACTCGCTCGTCTTCTGTTCTCGGCTCCAGTTGTGAGGCTGGGATCTACGCTGGGGCCATTGCTGCACAGGAGCTTCGCTGGCTCACCTACCTCTTGACTGACCTCGGAGAGCCGCCTTGTTCTCCTCCAGTTCTGTACGTAGACAACAAGGCCATGCTGGCCTTGTGTCGAGAGCAGCGACTGGAGCACAGAACAAAGCACATTGCTCTCCGCTACTTCCTTGCTCGTGAGCTATTGCAGCGTGGATAGTTGCGGCTTGCGTACGTGGCCTCTGAGGCCAACACTGCTGATGTTTTCACCAAGGCACTTCCGCCTTGTGATCATCAGAGCTTCTGCACTCAGCTGGGTCTTGTCCCTGTCTTGCCTCACTTGCTCACCTCTTGACCTTACTTGTACTGTTACATATATATATATACCTGCTCTTGTTTGTCTAGTCTTATATACATATGTACTCTTGCATGTGAACTGGCCTTGTGGCCTTGAACTTGTGCTCGGAATGTGTGGTGACTTTGTGATCCACCCTGAGCTTGCTTTGCTTTGCTTTGCTTGACTGGTCTTGTGACCCCCTGTTCTCCCCCACTTTGCCTATGGGGGTGTGTCAGAACATTATAGCTTATGCTGTTGTGTAGGCTATAGTGGGGTATCCCATAGGGGGTACAACCCAATTATGGTTAGTACTTGTACTCACTTCATTTCATAGTTCATTCATTCTCGTTCATAATTTCTCACGTGTCCCACACGCCAACGGTGGCGGTGGAGCCAATTAGCTGGCAGGGGTTAGTGGTGGCCCACGTGGTGAAGGTGAGTCCCAGGTGCCGATTTGATGCTCAGCATGGCCGCCGCTAATGGCCGCACAGTAGGCATGGCAGGATGGGGCGCAGGGAAAGGGGGAGAGATGGTGTGAATGAAGCAGACCCGGCAGCTTGCAAAGCATAGAGCGGTAATGGCACTTTGCGGCAAGGAAAGCATTAAAGCGGCAATAATGCAGGAAATAGGGGAATAGTGTCTGAAGCAAGAGGAAATTAGAAACGAAGGAAGGAATAAATAACGAGGACTACGAAGGGATTAAGGAAGGGTATAAGGATTTATGATAAAGAAGGGAGTAAGGAAGAAAAATTAAAGAGGACATAAGGAAGGAAACAAGGATGGACAGAAGGAAGGACAGACACATGGATGGACCGATGGAAGGAAGGAGGGGCAGAAGGAAGAATGAAAGGAAGGAAGGAAGGAAGGAAGGAAGGAAGGAAGGAAGGAAGGAAGGAAGGAAGGAAGGAAGGAAGGAAGGAAGGAAGGAAGGAAGGAGGGAAGGAAGGAAGGAGGGAAGGAAGGAAGGAAGGCAGGAAGGAAGGAAGGAAGGAAGGCAGGAAGGAAGAGAGGGATGGGAGAAAGGGAGCGAAGGAAGCACTCACCATTTGAGGCGGTGAGAGGCACTGCTGTGGTGCCCAAGCATGATACAGGAAGGACTGGTTGTGCCAACACGTTAGTAGTGCCGGCAGCCACGGCAGCAGCTGCATTTGGCGAGCACACTCCATTCCCCGGCGTGCAGAAGGGCCCGACGCCGTTGGTGGTGCCGTAGATGGCACAGTCCGCGGCGGGCCTCTGAGTGGTCCCGGAGCTGGTGCACTTGGAGGGCGTGAGGAGGCAGGTGTTGGTGCCGCCACAAAAGGTGTAGGTGACTGCTGGGACGTCCGTGAGGAAGTTGTATCCCACGTCCAAGATGCGCAGCTGGCTGGCCAGCGCCGGCACCGACCCCACCAGGTAGTTGTCCACCATGCCACTGGTGGGAGGGGGGAGGAGGGTGAGTGTAGCACGGTCAATAGTGGCGTGGGCAGATCGGGTTGGGGGCGGGGAAGGAGAACAGCACGATTTCTATGGAAGGTTTTATCAGAAGTCTTATAGCATATTGAGCTTCGGGAGGGCCACGAGGAAGGACGGAATTTCCCCGTAGAAGTAGTTGTAGTGCAGGCGGCTGTGACAGCAGCACAGGCAACGAGGACAGCGATGACATGAGTGCAAGACGTGGTGTCAGAGATTCTACAAGCATGACCTTTGAGGCGACTCAAAGGCATAGAAGCTTGAGGAGGCACGAAGAGAGACGGCAATGGGAAGATTGAAGGAGAAACGCAAGAGGGGAAAAAACTGAGTCATGGGAGACAGGATGCCACCTAACGAGGTGACTTTTGAGTCGACTCAAAAGCATAGCAGCTTGAGGAGGCATGAAGAGAGACGGCAATGGGAAGATTGAAAGAGAAAGAGAAGGGGGGGATAGACTGAGTCGAGAGAGACAGGACGCAACCTCCATGATCTCCTCCCTTGCATGCACCACTATTGCACTCACATGTCGGCCAGCAGTGGCAGGCTTCGAAGGTTGGTGGTGAAGGAATCAAGACGATAAAAGTGGAGATTTCTTTGCAAGACGCTAGTAGGGGCCAGGAGAGGGTGAAGCAGGTGGGTGTCATGTCATTGTGCTTGAACCTAAACCACATGTGTCATGGCACCTGTCGATCACTCAAGAGGTTTGGGGTTTGTACTGCAAGCAAGCGAAAGCATTGTGATTATCGAGCGGGCGAAATCTACCAGAGAGGGCACTACTTACAGGAACATAAGAGCCGTGAGAGTGGAGATGTCAGCATCGAGTGAGCCCTTCAGTTGTGCGTTAATGAAATTTCTGATACATTTGTGGGAAAGAGTTCGTTTGGAACACATGCAACACCGGGTGGGCAGGTGAAGATGATGAGAGAGGAAGTATGGCAGGCCAAACATTGAAGCAGCAAAACGATGAGAGGATGCACCCATGCTGCTTGAAGTGGGAGTTCATAACAAACACTCTGACCCAGACCTTGCCAACATGCACTCACATGGCCGACACCTTGCCACCAAGCGTGCAGGAGACGCCCGTCCACTCGCCCGCAATGACCACCAAAGAGTTCTCCACGCGGCACGGTGAGGTGGCAGCTGTCAGAATATTGTAGCTTATACATTTTGTGTAGGCTATAGTGGGGTATCCCATAGGGGGTACAACCCAATTAGGGTTAGTACTTGTACTCACTTCTTTCATAGTTCATTCATTCTCGTTTCTTCTCATGGTATCGAGCAGGTTCCCTAACGGGAACGATTCCTAGGGCCCACCACTACGATTTTTTTTTTCCTACCCGGAGCGCGCTCCGCTTAAGCCCGAGTCGCGCCCTGTGTGCTCACCTTACCGTCGCGCGCTCGCTAGGCCCCGTCGCGTCGCCCTTAGCGGCCCCCTCACGGCCCATCGCGCCGACCCTTACGGCCCCTTAGGCCCCTTCGCGGCCCCGTCCCGCTGCCCTACGGTCGCGTCGCGCCGCCCTAACGGCCGCGTCGCGCCGCCCTAGCGGCCTCTCCCGGCCCCGATCAGCCGCCCTTGCGGCCCCAATCCGCTGCCCTTTCACCAGCGGCCCCGTCGTCGCCCTTGCAGCGGCCCGTCGTTGCCCTTCTCAGCGGCCCCGCCGTCCCCTTTCAGCGGCCCCACCGCCTACCTTCAACGGCCTCGCCGCCTCCTTTCAGCGGCCCCACCGCCTACCTTCAGCGGCCCCGCCGCCTGCTTTCAGCGGCCCCGCCGCCTACCTTCAACGGCCCCGCCGCCTCCTTTCAGCGTCCCCGCCGCCTACCTTCAGCGGCCCCGCCGCCTCCTTTCAGCGGCCCCACCGCCTCCTTTCAGCGGCCCCGCCACCTACCTTGAGCGGCCCCGCCGCCTACCTTCAGCGGCCCCGCCGCCTCCTTTCAGCGGCCCCGCCGCCTACCTTCAGCGGCCCCGCCTCCTCCTCTCAGCGGCCCAGGACGCCGCTCTCTCGGCGGCCCTTCCGCCACCTCCTTTGCGGCCCCGCCGGACCGCCCGACAACCGAGCCGCCCAGCAGCCGAGCGGCCGAGCCGCCCAGCAGCCGAACCGCCGAGCCGCCCAGCAGCCGAGCTGCCCAGCAGCCGAACCGCCCAGCCGCCCAGCAGCCGAGCCACCCAGCAGCCGAGCCGCCGAGCCGCCCAGCAGCCGAGCCGCCGAGCCGCCCAGCTGCCGAGCCGCCGAGTCGCCCTCCAGCTGAGCCGCCCGAGCCACCCTATCCGGTAAGAGCAGCGCCTCCGTTACTGCACTGCCCTCACCCTACTGTTCGCACTGCTAGTCTACTGCTGTCATGGCTACCCCTAGTGTCCTCGCTTTTGACGCTGAGGGTAGGGCCATTGACTTTGACGTCTGGGTAGATGACTTGCAGCTTTTCTTACAGTGCGATAGGGCGGACGGTCTCTCTCTCTTTGACCTCACCTCTGGTGCTTCTCCTGCCCCTGCTACTGATGCTGACGCCACTGTTCGCTCACAGTGGGCCACGCGCGATGCTGCTGCACGTCTTGCTGTGCGTCGCCACCTGCCTACCTCTGAGCGTGTGCACTTTAGCCAGTACAATAGTGCTCAGACCTTGTACGACGCTATAGTTGCACGCTACTCCTCCCCTGCCACTGCCGCACTGAGCCGCCTCATGCTACCGTACCTCTTTCCTGACCTTGCTGCCTTTCCCACAGTCACTGACCTCATTACGCACCTCCGCACTAGTGATACTCGCTACCGCGCTGCGCTTCCTGCTGAGTTCTGCGCCAAGAACCCCCCCCCCCCATGTACATCACTCTCTACTACATAGTCACCCGCCTCCCTGGCTCCCTTCGCATAGTCAAGGACCACTTCCTCTCAGTCTGTCCCACCACTCTCACTGTTGACCTCCTCGAGAAGGCCCTTCTAGCAGCGGAGAAGAGCATAGTCGCTATAGGAGCCTCTCGTGGTGACCCCCGCAACCCCGTCTTTGAGGGGTGTTCTCCCTCCCCCCTCTTGCCCTCTGTTGCTTCTGCTGCTGCGACCGACCTTGTTGGTTTTGAGTCGGTCGGCGCTGCGTCTGCCCCTTCGGGGCACAGGCAATGGCAAGGTGGGCAAGGGCGCTGGAGGACCTGGCGGGGGCGGTGGAGGCGGCGGTGGAGGCGGCGGAGGGGGTGGGGGTGGGAGTGGGGTTGGTGGAGGGGGTGGAGGTGCTGGTGGCAGCAATGGAGGCGGAGGCGTCGGCAGGGGTGGCGGAGGGAGCGGGAGTGGCGGTGGTGGCGGAGGCGGCGGAGGTGGCGGAGGCAGCGGAGGTGGCGGTGGAGCCGGTCACGGTTCTGCGCAGAGGAGTGGCTCCGGTGGTGGTCCGCGCCAGCAGCAGCAGCGCGGTCGTGAGACCCTGTCCCCTCAGCAGCTCCGTGAGTGGTACGCTGCACGCCAGCGGGGTGGGGGTACTGGTCCCTGCACCTACGTCCTGCGCACCGGCGACCGTGCGGGTGAGCAGTGTGGGGGTGCGCACCCCACCCAGCGCTGCTTTGGCCGCTTGACGGACGCGTGGCGTCACTAGTTCCCTGAGGCCACAGAGATCCCTCGCTGGGGCGAGCTGTCTAGGGCGGCGGTTGGTATCTTTGACCTTGACTTTGATGCTATCCTCTCTGCCATGTATGCTGTGACTATTAGTGATGAGGGTGATTGTTACCGGTGTTTCCCGCCCGATCCAGGCATTGAGACTGCTACTCTAGGTACTGGTGAGGCTGCTCCTCTAGGTGCTTGCGACGGTGCTGCTCTAGGTGCTAGTGCGTCTGCGTCCTCAGGTACTGGTGCATCTGCCCTCTGAGGTACTGCGTCGGCTTCGGCCTCCCTCACCTTCACCCTTGACTCTGGGGCTTCTTGCTCCTTCTTTCGAGACCGCACCACACTCACGCCGCTTGGTCGGCTGGTTGCAGTGTCTCTGGCTGACCCCTTTGGGGGTCCTGTCCTTGCTCACTTCTCCACAGTCCTCCCTTGTCTGGCGGGTCCCTCTGGCACCCTGTCTGGTCTTTACCTCCCCTCGTTCTCCACGAACTTGGTGAGTGGTGCTGACCTACAGGATGGGGGTGTGCACCAGTTCACTCCTGTGAGTCAGTGGGTGACACACAGCACTGAGGCTCGGACAGGCCGACACTTGGCCACGTTTACACGTCAGCCGGGGTTGAGCCTGTACACATTGACCGCTAAGTCTCCTCCACTCACTGCGTTTGGTCGTGTTGCTGCGTCGGGTCAGGTGTTTGCTGCAGCGTCCAGGTCTGGTCCTGAGTCTGCCCCCTGTTCGTGTCGTCTCCTGTCTCACGAGACTCTCCTCTGGCACCACCGCCTTGGTCACCCCTCTCTGCTTCGTCTCAGAGGCATGGCCTCCCGTCTCCTTGTTTCTGGTCTTCCCCGGTCCGTCCCTCCCCTTCCTCCGGGGCCTGGCCCTACCTGTGTCCCCTGTGTCGAGGGGCGGCAGCGGGCTGCCTTTCACTCCTCCCAGTTTCCCCCGACAGAGGCCCCGCTGCAGACGCTTCACATGGACGTGTGGGGCCCAGCCCACGTCCGTGGACAGGGTCACGAGCGCTACTTCCTGCTGGTGGTTGACGACTACTCGCGTTACAGTGCAGTCTTCCCCTTGCCCAGCAAGGGTGATGTCACTGAGGTGTTGATCGCCTGGATCCGCGCAGCTCGTCTCCAGCTCTGGCAGAGCTTCGGCTCGGACTTTCCTGATCTGCGTCTGCACTCTGACAGAGGCTGAGAGTTTTCCTCTGGCCTTCTGAGAGCCTACTGTCGCGCAGGAGGCATCCGTCAGACCTTCATGCTTCCGGACTCTCCGCAGCAAAATGGGATTGCTAAGCGCCGCATTGGCATGGTCATGGACGTCGCTCGTACGTCCATGATGCATGCGGCTGCCCCCCATTTTCTGTGGCCGTTTGCGGTGAGGTACGCGGCGCATCAGATCAACCTTCACCCCAAGGTCTCCAGTCCGGAGACCTCCCCGGCTTTGCTGTGGACGGGGAAGGTTGGCGATGCGTCTGAGTTCCGTGTCTGGGGATCTCGGGCGTTTGTCCGCGACTTGTCTGCGGAGAAGCTCTCCCCTCGTGCTGCTCCTTGCGTCTTCCTGGGTTTCCCCCCTAACGCGCCCGGGTGGCAGTTCTACCACCCCACCTCGCGCCGTGTTCTGTCCTTTCAAGACGTCACGTTTGACGAGTCGGTCCCCTACTACCGCCTCTTCCCCTACCCCAATCCGTCCCTCCCCCCGCCACCGCTCTTCCTTGTACTAGGTCCCCCCCCGGTAGACCCCCTCCCCCCTCAGGGTCCTGCCCCTTCAGGTTTGTCCCAGGGAGACGCGATCGAGCCTGTCGAGGTTACTGGTGACTCTGGTGCTGCTGAGGATGCTGAGCCTGGGGGTGCTGAGCGTGTGGGTGCTACTCCTGGGGGTGCTGAGCATGGGGGTGCTGAGCCTAAGGGTGCTGTGCCTGGGGGTGCTGAGCTTGGGGGTGCTGAGCCTGGGGGTGCTGAGCCTGGGGGTGCTATGCCAGAGGGTGCTTCTACTGGGGGTGCTGAGCCTGAGGGTGTTGTGCCTGGGAGTGCAACGCCTGGGGGTGCTGAGCCTGGTGGTGCTGGGCCTGAAGGTTCTCCGGGTGCTTCGTCTCAGGAGCTGCACAAGTGGTTTGCCCGGCGCTGGAGCCGTACTGCTGGAGCTGTAGGTTCTTCGGCTACTGAGGGTGCTGGTGTCGCGGGTCCCAGAGGTGCTCGTACTGGGCGTACTGGAGCTGCTGGGCCTGCGGGTTTGACTGGAGCTGGTGCAGCTGAGGGTGTTTGCGCTGTGACTACTGCTGGCGGTCCTGCTGGGGGTGCTACTGGTGCTGCTGGAGGTCCTGGAGCTACTGGAGCTGCTGCGGGAACTAGAGCTGGAGGTGCTACTGGAGCTGGTGCTCCTACTTGGGGTACTGGTGCTGTCCCTTCTGTGTTTCGAGTCGCCGCGCGGCCTCGACCGTACTTCGTTCCACTCCTCCAGCAGGTTCTTGGTCTTCCGCCTTCTACTGGTCCTCCTCCCTTAGGGTGTCCACAGCCCGTCCCGTCACAGCTACAGTTACAGCTGGCCTCCTCTTTGCCTGCTCCTTCTCCCTACACCGGTCCTACTTGAGGTCTTGCTGAGCGTCGCGAGCCTGCGTGTCGCCCTGCGTCGCCTGTCCGTGCTGCTCGCACTAGTAGTCGTGGTTCGCGTCAGCGTCCTCCTCCTGTCCCTGGCACGCACCGGATGTCTCTGCGTCCGTCCACTGCTCCTCTGCGTGCCCCTTCGCCTTCTCCTCCTGAGTCCTCTCTTCCTGCGCTTGCCGACCCGGAGTCGGACTCTTTGCGTGCTGCCAGTCCTACTGTCGAGGTCTCCTTGCTACTGTCCTCACTGACCCTTCCTTTCAGTCCACTGCTGCGTCCGCCCTAGTTGCTGAACTCATCGACTTTGCTGTTCGCTGTCGCCTAGACTACGTTGCTAGTCTTGTCGCTGAGTCTGAGTCTGTCTGTCCTCCGTCCGTCGGGGGTGAGTGTGCCCTTAGCACGGACGTCCTTGAGGACAGGCAGGAGGAGTTCCAGTGTCTGGCTGCTGCTTCACCTCATCTCGTGTCCGTACTGCTTACCCCTGAGGGAGACCCGGATGCACTTGACATCCCGACTCCTCGCTCTTACGCGGAGGCGATAGAGGGTCCCTACTCTTCCCAGTGGCAGGCAGCTATGGACACAGAGATGGCTTCCTGGAAGTCCACAGGCACCTACGTTAATGAGGTTCCCCCGCCCGGGGCGAACATCGTCAGTGGCATGTGGATCTTCAGGTTGAAGCGGCCGCCGGGTTCTCCGCCTGTCTTCTAGGCACGTTACGTGGCTCGTGGCTTCAGACAGCGGCAGGGAGTTGACTACTTTCAGACCTTCTCTCCCACCCCGAAGATGACCACTCTTCGGGTACTGCTGCACGTAGCTGCTCACCGTGACTACGAGCTACACTCTCTTGACTTCAGCACAGCTTTCTTGCAGGGCAGCCTGCACGAGGAGATCTGGTTGCGCCGCCCACCTGGCTTCACTGGGTCGTTCCCTCCTGGTACCCAGTGGAGTCTCCGGCGTCCAGTCTACGGTCTCCGCTAGGCGCCCTATGAGTGGCACGACACACTGAGAACTACGCTTGCGGCTCTTGGATTTGCTCCTTCTACTGCCGACCCGTCGCTGTTTCTGCGCACCGACACCTCTTTGCCGCCATTCTACATCCTCGTGTACGTCGACGACTTGGTCTTTACCACAGCTGACACTGCTGGACTCGCCTACGTGAAGTCTGAGCTGCAGAAGAGACACACGTTCATAGACCTGGGTGAACTGCGCAGCTACCTTGGCTTGCAGATCACCAGGGACAGAGCACGCCGCATCATTACCCTGACTCAGTCACACATGGTGCAGCAGGTCCTTCAGCGCTTCGGCTTCACGTACTCCTCGCCTCAGGTACCTGGTGACCTGCACACGACCTGACCTTGCATACCCTCTTAGCATTCTCGCACGCTATATTGCTCCTGGGAGACACCGACCAGAGCACATGGCTGCAGCGAAGAGGGTGTTGTGCTAATTGTGCAGTACGTCGTGCATGGGGCTAGTGCTTGGAGGGCGGAGTCCAGTGGTCCTCACTCGGCATGCAGACGCTTCTTGGGCTGACGACCAGGCTACGCAGCGGTCGTCACAGGGTTACACCTTCAGCCTTGGTTCCGGCTCTGTTTCGTGGCGGGCTACTCGCTTGTCTTCTGTTCTCGGCTCCAGTTGTGAGGCCGAGATCTACGCAGGGGCCATGGCTGCAGAGGAGCTTCGCTGGCTCACCTACCTGCTGTCTGACCCCGGTGAGCCACCTCGTTCTCCTCCAGTTCTGTCCGTAGACAACAAGGCCATGCTGGCCTTGTGTCGAGAGCAGAGACTGGAGCACAGAACAAAGCACATTGCTCTCCGCTACTTCCTTTCTCGTGAGCTACAGCAGCGTGGTCAGTTGCGGCTTGCGTACGTGGCCTCAGAGGCCAACACTGCTGATGTCTTCACCAAGGCACATGTGCCTTGTGATCATCAGCGCTTCTGCACTCAGCTGGGTCTTGTGCCTGTCTTGCCTCACTTGCTCACCTCTTGACCTTGCTTGTACTGTTACATATATATATATATATATATATGCCAGCTCTTGCTTGTCTAGCTTTATATATATGTGTACTCTTCCATGTGAACTGGCCTTGTGGCCTTGACCTTGTGCTCGGACTGTGTGGTGACTTTGAGATCCACCCTGAGCTTGCTTTGCTTTGCTTTACTTGACTGGTCTTGTGACCCCTTGTTCTCCTCCACTTTGCCTATGGGGGTGTGTCAAAATATTGTAGCTGATATATTTTGTGTAGGCTATAGTGGGGTATCCCATAGGAGGTACAACCCAATTAGGGTTAGTACTTGTACTCACTTCTTTCATAGTTCATTCGTTCTTGTTTCTTCTCAGCAGCCCACGTGGTGAAGGCCGCGCCGAGCGCGCTCTTAATGTTCAGCATTGCGGCGGCTGCATGGAGGGGTGCGTGGGGATGCATGTGAGTGTGGCGTCGCAGAGATCCAAAACAAAGTATCGCAACAAAAGAGATATTCTAAACGCCGACTACATAGAGGTGCTTGAGGAGAGGAGAGTGAGCACTCACCATCCGTTGCATTTATGGGGAAACTCAGGATTGAGTTACACTTAAACGCCACGTCAAAGCCGTATGCATGCTTTGTTAAGCTCGCGATCTTAGGATCGCTATCTGCCACACACGTGCCCGCCGACCCACAGCCCGAGCCGTCGGTGCTTGAACAGATACTGGTGCAGCCGGTGCTTCTCTGCGCGCCGCCGCAGTTGCTGGTGCTGGTGAAGCAGTTGTAGCTGGCACCGCAGTTGAGCCAGGAGGAGCCGGTAGTTGCGGCTCAACTCCAACGACTTGATTGACGTCACCATGGAGGGCACCGTGCCATATAGACAGTTTTCATGCAGGTTCCTGTGCGGGCGAGGCACCACACACGTGTTTGGCTCGAGAAGATCCGGCAATGACCAGCAAATCAACAATGGCGGAAAGAGTAGCGGACGGAAGAGAAGGGCAGTGAGGGGGGATGAGGGAGACAGATGCTGCTTTGGCCATCGTGGTTCGTGGGCTGATGCACTCACAGCTCAGTCAGGCTTAGCACACTCGCGATGACACTTGGGAAAGTGTCGGTAAACCAGTTGTACTGCAGGGATCTGCCACACGTGGACCGGATCGGAGAACAGGGGGAAACAAAAGAGCATGTGGGTGCATCAGAAAACACTAGTTGATTTAAACAAGAGGGAGAAAGTGCCCCTTCCAAGGAGGCGGTCGTGTGTGGTACTCACATGCCTTTCAAGGTGGTGAGCGAGCTGAAGACGCTGAGGTACTTGCCGAGGTCGCCATCCATGTACTGCATGAACACTCTGCACATCACAGCACCACCACACGCTGTGCCTCAGCCCAGGTCTCCACACAATTGGTACGCTGCAGAAAAAAAAAAAAAAAGCAAAAAAAAAAAAAGACAAACAGACAAAAGCAAGGGTTGCATGTGCCTACTACTCACAAGTTGGTCAGGGCTGTGAGCTTGCTGATGTCGGTGGGGAAGCTCTTTCGAGTGATGTCGAGGTCGCGGAGATATCTGCCACATGGGGCAAGACAAGCAGGATGCACATGCGGTCATGGCAGGACGCACTTGCTGGGGGTACTGCCAAGAAAGTCACACTGCAGGAAATCAATCAATAAAGGAGCTTGGCATGTGGGCGCGGCGCTTACATCTGAATGACGTTGCCATTGCTGTTGCAGGACAGCGTGTCCCACAAGCCAGAAGTGGCGGCAGCACCACTGAGCTGGCAGGGGTTAGTGGTGGCCCACGTGGTGAAGGTGAGTCCCAGGGCCGACTTGATGCTCAGCATGGCCGCCGCTGATGGCCGCACAACAGGCATAGCGGGATGGGGCGCAGGGAAAGAGGGGGAGAAGGTGTGACGCAGCATAGGTAAGGCAGGGAAGGAGGTGGCGAGTTCGAAACAGCCCATATTTCTTGCAGAACAGAGCAAGGCTAGCGCTGGTGAGCTGCCACAGGGGACACGTGGTGACAGACACTTTCGCCAAGCCTCGAGCACGGAATCATTCACTCACCTTCCGCTGCAGTCATGGTCACTGCCGTCCCGCCCACACAGGTGAAGGGCAGCAGAGGCTGTGACAGCGAGTTGACAGTGCCGGTAGCCACGACAGCAGAAGCGTTTGCCATGCACATTGCTCCCGTCCCAGTGCAGTAGGGTCCCATGCCGTTGGTGGTGCCGCAGAAGGCACAACTTGCCGCAGGCTTCTGAGCGGTTCCGGCGACGGAGTTGGGGCACTTGGAGGGCGTCTTCAGGCAGTTGTTGACGCTGCCACAGAAGGTGTAGGTGATTGCTGGGCCGTCCGTGAGGAAGTTGTATCCCACGTCCAAGACACGCAACCCAGCTGCCAGCGCCGGCACCGACCCCATCAGGTAGTTGTCCATCATGCCACTGGTGGGAGGGGGGAGCAGAGAGGGCGGGGCACGGTCAATGGCTGCACACGGCATAGCCAAAGCGGCACATGGCATAACCAATAGCGGCACCTGGTGTGGGCATTAAGCTACCGTTACAGAGTGGTAGAATGGATAGGGGATGAGGAATGAGAATGCGGGAGCCGAGAAGATGGAAAGCAGCAAAATTTATTACAGAAAGTCTTTTCAGACAACTTACGCTAGGCCCCTACAGCCTCAACAGCAACTTCGTGTTGGCAGAGGGGATGGAGAGTAAGGAAGGAGAAGGTGGGAAGGTGGAAGCAGACGAAAGTAAAGAAGCACATGGAGGTTTATAGAAGGTCTTCCCAGAGGACTTACAGCAGAGTCATCTTTGGGAGGCCCACAAGGAAGGAGGGGACCTCCCCGTAGAAGTAGTTGTAATGCAGGCGGCTGTGACAGTAGCACAGGCATCGAGGGCAGCCATGAGATGAGTGCACGGATGAGATGAGGGCAGCATGATATAAGTGTAAGACGTGGTGGCATGTGCAATGGAGGGTCAAGGATGAGCAGACATGACGTTTGGGACGCCCCCACAAACCAAGAAGCTTGAGTGGGCATAAATGGAGAGAGCGGACGGACGATCGGGAGTGGGAGCACCCCTTCTCCTCTGGAAGCAACCCTCCCACACTCACATGTTGGCCAGCAGCACTCACATGTCGGCCAGTAACACTCACATGTCGGCCAGCAGTGGCAGGGCTCGCATGTTGGTGAAGAATGAGTCAAGGCGGTAGTTGAAGAGATTGTTCACCAGGTTGCTAGTAGGTAGGGGCGAGCAGAGCAGAGGGTGAAACATGAGCATAACGGCTTCACTAGATAGCTCTAGCGAGTTCCACGCAACTACTGCAATCATGCATGCTGAAAGATAAAGAAATGGAGCAACCGATGGGCAGGCAGAAGCATTGGATTTAGCTTCTCAAGGTGAACCAACTCACAGGAAGGTAACAGCCGTGAGAGTGGAGATGTCAGCATGGAATGAGCCCTTAAGTTATGCCATTGGGAAGGACCTGATGCATTTGTGGGAGAGCGATTTGGAGTACCCAATGCCAGGTGGGCAGATGAATTTGTGAGAAGACGCATGGCAGGTGGAGCATTGAAGAATGTACAGCGGTCAGAGGATGCACGCTTGCATTGAAACAGGAGGATGATAACGACACACACTGACCGACATCTTGCAAGCATGCACTCACAAGGCCGACACTTTGCCGCCAAGCGTGCAGGAGACGCCCGTCTACTCGCCCGCAACGGCCACGGAAGAGTTCTCCACGCACACGGTGAGGTGGAAGCCCATGTGGTGTAGGTCGCACCCAGCGTGCTCTTGATGTTCAGCATTGCGGCAGCTGCAGGGGGGTATGCAGAGTGAACGGGATTGTGGTGTGGCAGAAACCCGAAACAATCTAGCATAACAAAAAACCCGACATCGAAAGGTGCATGCGGAGAGAAGAGGAATCACTCACTATCTGCCGCGTTTATTGTGACACTCAGAATGTAGTTACATTGAAACGCCACATCGACGCTGTATGCATGCTTGGTGGAGCTCGTAATAAGTGCGTCCGTATCTGCCAAGCATGTGCCCGCCGACCTACAGCCAAAGCCATCGGTGCTGGAGCAGATGTTGCTGCAGCCGGAGCCTCTCTGCGTGCCGCCGCAGTTGCGGGTGCTGGTGAAGCGGTTGAGGGAGGCGCCACAGTTGGACCAGGAGGAGCCGGTGGGCATGGTGTCGGTGAAGTAGTTGCGGCTCAACTCCAGCGACTTGATTGACGTCACCATGGAGGGCACCGTGCCGTACATACAGTTCTCAAAAAGGTTCCTGTGGAAGTGGGTCACACGCACACGTGGAAGAGGTTTACGACGAGAGGCCAGGAATGGCCAACAAAGAAAACAATGGCAGAGAGAAGCGGAGGCACGTTTGAGGTGGGTGCGTATGTGTATGTATCACGAGACATCCACTGAAGAAACAAATGACGGGAGCGTCCTTGCTACAAGCGGTCTAAGGCGGCGAGGTAAGGGAGGCAAGGAGAATGTAAAGGAGGCAAAGGGAAGGTAAGAAAGGAGAGGGGAAGTAAAGGGAGGAGAGGGAAACAGCAGAAGCGAGAGAAGGGTGAAGAGGGGGGCTTAGGGAGAGTGATGCTGCATTGGCGCAGGTGGCGCATGTGATGCTGCTGCACTCACAGCTCAGTCAGGCTTAGCACACTTGCGATGACACTTGGGAAAGTGCCGGTAAACCAGCTGTACTGCAGGGATCTGCCACACGTGGACTGGATCGGAGAACATGGAGAAACAGAAGAGCATGCGGGTGCATGAGCAGATACAGATTCATTTGATTAAAAGGGCAAAAGTGGAATGGTGGCACATATAAGGAGACGGTGGTGGGTGGTACTCACAGGCCTTTCAAGGTGGTGAGCGAGCTGAAGACGCTAAGGTACTTGCCGAGGTCGCCATCCATGATCTGCATGAACACTGCACGTGACGGCACCAACACACGCTCTGCCTCAGCCTGGGTCTACACACAAGTGCTAGACTGCAGCAAAAAAAAAAAAAAAAAAAAAAAAAAAAAAAAATCCATGGGTGGCATGCGTGTGCGTGTGCCTACTACTCACAAGTTGGTTAAGGCTGTGAGCTTGCTGACGTCGGCGGGAAAGCTCTTCCAAGTGATGCCGATATCGCGAAGGTATCTGCCCCGTGGAACAAGCAGATCGGTACGCATGATAAGATCATAGCACAAGGAGGTCAATGCCACATGCGGCAAGACATGGAACAATCAGGTGGGTGGCACATGGGACAAGCAGGTCAGTGCCACATGGAACAAGCAGGTGGGTGCCACATGGGACAAGCAGGATGGTGCCACATGGAACAAGCAGGTCGGTGCCACATGGAACAAGCAGGTCGGTGCCACATGGAAGAAGCAGGTTGGTGCCAGATGGAAGGAGCGGGATGACTTGCTGGAGGTACAGCCTGGAAAGAAGCTTGGTATGGAGTGAAGGCGGCGCTTATATCTGCACAACACTGCCGTTGCTGTTGCATAACAGCGTGTCCCACACGCTAGGCGCGCTGGCAGCGCCAATGAGCTGGTAGGCGTTAGTGGTGGCCCACGTGGTGAAGGTGAGCCCCAGGGCCGACTTGATGCTCAGCATGGCCGCCGCTGATGGCCGCACAGCAGGAATGGCGGGATGGGGCGCCTGGAATGAGAGAAGGAGTGTGAGGCAGCCAAGACAAACATAAAGCAGGGAAGGGGGTGGAGAGATACAGCCGTTTTTCTAGCAGAGCAGAGTAGCGCAGGGCGAGGCGAGCAGAGCGAAGTGGCACTGGTGAGCCACCGCAGGCAGCGGACACGTGGTGACAGTGATGCCCAGCCCCAAGCATGGAAGCAAACACTCACCCTCTGCTGCGTTCATGGGCACAGATGTCCCGCCCACGCAGGTCAAGGGCAGCAGAGGCTGTGCCAGCATGTTGACAGTGCCGGCAGCCACGCGGGTAGTCGCGTTCGCCATGCACACTTCACCGCCCGTCAAAGGGTAGTAGGGCCTGACGCCGTTGGTGGTGCCGTAGAAGGCACAGCTCGCCGCGGGCTTCTGAGCGGTTCTGGCGCCGGAGTTGGGGCACTTGGAGGGCGTGAGCAGGCAGTTGTTGATGCCACCACAGAAGGTGTAGGTGACTGCTGGGACGTCCGTGAGGAAGTTGTATCCCACGTCCAAGACACGCAACCCAGCTGCCAGCGCCGGCACCGACCCCATCAGGTAGTTGTCCACCATGCCACTGGTGGGAGGGGGGAGCAGAGAGGGCGGGGCACGGTCAATAGCGGCACAGGGCACGGTCAATAGCGGTACACGGCGTGGTCAATAGCGGCACATGGCATGGTCAATAGCCGCACACGGCATGGTCAATAGAGGCACACGGCATGGTAAATAGCGGCACACGGCGTGGTCACTAAGCTACCGTTACAAAGTGGTAGAATGGATAGGGCATGAGGAACAAGAATGCGGGAGCATGGAAGTTAGGAATGCAGCAGACAGTTATAGAAGGTCTTCCCAAACGACTTACAGCAGAGTCATCTTTGGGAGGCCCACAAGGAAGGAGGGGACCTCCCCGTAGAAGTAGTTGTAATGCAGGCGGCTGTGATAGCAGCACAGGCAATGAGGGCAGCGATGAGATGGGAGCATGATGTGGTGGCATGTGTAAGGGACAAGGATGAGCTTTGAGGCGCCCTTGAAAATAGAGAAGCTTGAGCAGGCATGAATAGAGAGGGCGGACGGAAGCTTGGGAGCAGGAGCAAAGCCACATGACGCCATGATCATGCTCTCACGCTCAAGGCCACATGACGCCATGATTGTGCTCTCACGCTCACCCCGTCCCCTTTGCCCGTGAACCTTCCCGCTCACATGTCGGGCAGCAGTAGCAGGGCTCGCATGTTGGTGAAGGAGTCAAGGCGGTAGTTGAAGAGATTGTTTGGCAGGTTGCTGGTAGGGGCGAGCACAGGGTGAAACAGGCGGTTTTCATGTTATTGTGATTGAACCTTAACCACGTGCATCATGGCTCAAGGAATTTCCACGCATCAACTGCAATCAGGCGTGTTGGAAAAATAGAAAGCGAAGCAACTGATCAACAAGCAGAAACATCTGGGATCATGGAGCAAATATAACTGCTGCCAAGGAGAAGCAACTCACGGGAAGGTAAGAGCAGTGAGAGTGGAGATGTCAGCATGGAATGAGCCCTTGAGTTGGGCGGTAGGGAAGGACCTGATGCATTTGCGAGAAGAAAGTTTCGGAGAACGCAACTAAGGCAGGGTCGGGTGGGCAGATGTATTGGTTAAGAGATGTATGACAGGTGGAACATTGAAGATACACTGCTGTCAGAGGAAGCATGCATGCTGCTTGACGTGTGACGATGATAATGGCAGGCACTGACCAACACGACATGTTGCCAGCATATACTCACAAGGCTGACAATTTGCCAGCAGCAGTGCAGAAGACGTCCGTCCAATCGCCCGCATAGGCCACCATCGAGTTCTCCAGGCGGCACGGTGCCGTGGCGGTCCACGTGGTGAAGGTGGCACCCAGCACGCTCTTGATGTTCAGCATTGCCGCAGCTGCACAAGGTGGTGCATAAGAGTGCACAGGAGTGTGGTGTGCCACGGGGGCAGCCGCATTTGCCGTGCACACTCCTCCCGCCCCCCAGCACAAGGGCCCGACGCCGTTGGTGATGCCGCAGTAGGTACAGGTCGCTGCGGGCTTCTGACCGGTTTCGGCGCCGGAGTCGGGGCACTTGGAGGGAGTTTGCAGGCAGTTGTTGAGGCCGCCACAGAAGGTGTAGGTGATTGCTGGGACGTCCGGGAAGAGATTGTATCCCACGTCCAAGATGCGCAGCTGGGTGGCCAGTGCCGGCACCGACCCCATCAGGTAGTTGTCCACAATGCCACTGGCCACACGGGGGAGCAGGGAGGGACATGGTCAATAGTGGCGTGTGTTGGAAATAGGCTGCATGTTAGCCTTGAAGGTTTACAACTTAGTGCATTTAGTTTGGTTGGGTTGGGTGTAGACTTCTTATCCCCAACCTATCCAACCCTATCTCAAGTCTATCCAGCCAAAATCTCTCTGATATGGAAGGATCCTCTTTGGATTCCCTTCCGATTGAACCTTATCCATCCAAACCCTCCCATATTCTGGTACTTTAGGCCATGTATCTGTCTCCCTAATCAATCGATTTAACTCTCATTCTGACAAAGTGGGCACGAGATTGAAGAGGAATGCAAGGCGGAAAGCGTCACGCACGGTCATCAGCACGGCATGGGCAGATCGGATACAAGCATGAGAAATGAGGATGCGGGAGCATAGAAGGTGAAAGCAGCACAAAGCATTATAGAAGGTCTTCCTAGGGGAACTCACAGCAGAGTGAGCTTCGGAAGGTTCACAAGGAAGGAGGGGACCTCCCCGTACAAGTAGTTGTAGTGCAAGCGGTTGTGACAGTAGAGGCAACAAGAGCAGCCATGAGTTGAGTGCATGATGTGGTTGGGTGTGCAAGGGGCACAGATGTGCAGACATGACGTTTGATGCGGCCCCGCAAACAGAGAAGCTTGAGCGGGCATGAATGGAGAGAGCGGACGGAAGATGGGGAGCAGGAGCAAAGCTACAGGATGCCGTGACCATGCTCTCACGCTCACCCCTTCTCCCTTGTGTGCAGCCCTCCCGCACTCACATGTCGGCCGGCAGTGGCACGGCTCGCATGTTGGTGAAGAAGGAGTCATATCGGTAGTTGAAGAGATTGTTCACAAGGTTGCTGGTAGGTAGGGGCGAGCAGAGAGTACAAAGGGGCGGTTGTCATGTCATTGTGATGAAACCTCAACCACATGCATCATGGCTTCACTAGGTAGCTCTAGGGAGTTCCACGCAACTAATGCAACTGCAAGCATGCGTGCTGAAAGAGAAAGAAAGGGAAAGCAGCCTATGGGCAAGCAGAAGCATTGGGATGATGATGCAAATGAAACTGCTGCCAAGGTGACCAAACTTACAGGAAGGTAAGAGCCGTGAGAGTGGAGATGTCAGCATGGAATGAGCCCTTGAGTTGTGCCGTAGGGAAGGACCTGATGCGTTTGTGCAAGAGTGTTTTGGAGAAAGCACACAACGCAACGTTGGGTTGACAAATGAATTTCTGAGGCGATGTACGGCGGGTGGAACATAGAAGATGGACAGCGGTCAGAGGATGCTCGCTTGTTCCTTGCAGCGTGAGGATGTAACCAACATCCTGCCAGCATGCACTCATATGGCCGACACCTTGCCGCCAAGCGTGCAGGAGACGCCCGTCCACTCGCCCACAACGGCCACCAAAGAGTTCTCCACGCGGCACGGTGAGGTGGCAGCCCACGTGGTGAAGGTCGCACCCAGCGCGCTCTCCTGGGAGTGCACGGGATTGTGGCGTGGCAGAAAGCCAAAACAAGGGGGTGCAACTGCAACAAAGAGAACAAACAAAGGACTAAAGAAGGTGCGTGAAGAAGGACACACTCACCATCTGCCGCGTTGATGGAGACACTCGTGATTGCAGCACACTTAAACGTCACGTCGGTGCTGTATGTATGCTTGGTGAAGCTCGCAATAAGTGCGTCCGTATCCGCCATGCACAAAGTTCCTGGTGCACAGGCCGAGCCATTTGTGTTCCCGCAGATGCTGCAGCCGGAGCCTCTCTGCGTGGAGATGCCGCAGTTGGCGGTGCTGGCGAGGCAGTTGTAAGCTGCGCCGCAGTTGGACCAGGAGGAGCCAGTGGGCATGGTGCCGGTGAAGTAGTTGCGGCTCAACTCCGGCGACTTGATTGATGTCACCATGGAGGGCACCGTGCCGTACATACAGTTCTCAAGCAGGTTCCTGTGCAGGCGAGGCACCACACATGTGTTTGGCATGAGAGGATCCGGCATTGGCAAGAAAACGAAGACGGGAACGTCTTTGCAACCAGCGGTTTGAGGCGATTAGTTAAGGGAGGAGAGGGCAAGGTAAGAAGAGGTGGGGACAAGGTGAGGGAGAGGGGAACAGCGGAAGCAAGAGGGGCGGTGAGGGGGTGTGTGGGGAAGAGATGCTGCTTTGGCCGTCGTGGTTCGTCAGCTGCTACACTCACAGCTCTGTCAGGCTGAGCACACTCGCGATGACACTTGGGAAAGTGCCGATAAACCAGTTGTACTGCAGGGATCTGCCACATGTGGATCGGATCGGAGAACAGGGGGAAACAGAAAAACATGGAGTTGTATCACCACATACTACTCAATTTCAGGTTGAACAAGTTGACAGTTGGAGGGCGAAAGAGAGAGTGCTGGCACTTCCAACTAGGCGATGAGGTACTCACATGCCTTTCAAGGAGGTGAGCGAGCTAAAGACGCTGAGGTACTTGCCGAGGTTGCCATCCATGATCTACATGAACAGTCTGCACGTCACAGCACCACCACACGCTGTGCCTAAGCCCAGGGCTCCACACAAGTGGTACGTTGCAGCAACAACAACAATATATATATATATATATATAAACAAGGGTTGCGTACTTACAAGTTGGTTAAGGCTATGAGCTTGCTGACATCGGCGGGGAAGCTCTTTCGAGTGATGCCGAGGTCGCGGAGGTATCTGCCACATGGGACAAGCAGGTCATCATGGAGAACAAGGAGAAACAGAACAAGCAGGTCGGTGCGCATGAGCTCATGGGACAAGCAAGATGCGATGAGCTTATGAAAGGACGCACTTGCTGGAGGTACCGCCTGGAAAAGTCGCACATTATCATCTTTATACAGTAATCAAATATTACTGGTAGCATGATGTTTGATTACTGCACCTACATATCCACCCAGGTTGCGCTAAGGCCGCGCAAACATCGTACGTATAGGTTTTTTTATAAACCCTAGACTTCGATACCAATAATGTAGTCGGATCATCACATGTTCGGCTCCAACTTCCCCTCGGAGGGAGCGGTCGTCTTTCAATCTCGCGCGCTTTTCAGTATTAGTGTCGTCTGCCTGGATTTAGTAGTAGCGATAGCGCAATGGATGGTGAACTAAAGCCGAGGCCTTTGGAGGCCCAAATCTTATGGCCAGAAACACGAACCTATGGACACTAGGGGAACTTGGAAAAGGAATAGAAGGTGTCAGAACATATAGCTTACTTGTTTCTGTAGGCTATAGTGGGGTATCCCATAAGGGGTACAACCCAATCAGGGTTTCCTATTTGTACTCACTTCGTTCATAGTCATTTCATTCTCGTTCAATTCTCCTTCATGGAATCAGAGCAGGTCCCCTCCTAGGGACTGTTCCTAGGGCCCACCGAAGCGCGCCCCGAGGCGCGCGTTCATTTTTTTTAGCGACCCTGCGTGTCGCCCCTACCGTCGCGCTCCCGTCGCTCCCTCCTCGTCGGCCCCGCTTAGGCCCCGCTAAGGCCCCGCGTCGGCCCCGCTTAGGCCCCGTCGGCCCCGCTTAGGCCACGCTAAGGCCCCGCGTCGGCCCCGCTTAGGCCCCGCTAAGGCCCCGCTTAGGCCCCGCTAAGGCCCCGCGTCGGCCCCGCTTAGGCCCCGTCGGCCCCGCTTAGGCCCCGCTAAGGCCCCGCGTCGGCCCCGCTTAGGCCTCGTCGGCCCCGCTTAGGCCCCACTACGGCCCCTCGTCGGCCCCACTTAGGTCCTGTCGGCCCCGCTTAGGCCTCGTCGGCCCCGCTTAGGCCCCGCTAAGGCCCCGCGTCGGCCCCGATTAGACCCCGTCGGCCCACTTAGGCCCCGCTACGGCCCCTCGTCGGCCCCGCCTAGGCCCCGTCGGCCCCGCTTAGGCCCCGCTTCGGCCCCGCGTCGGCCCCGCCTAGGCCCCGTCGGCCCCACTTAGGCCCCACTCCGGCCCCGCCACGGCCCCGCTACAGCCCGCCGTCGGCCCCGCTACAGCCCCGCTACAGCCCGCCGTCGGCCCCGCTACAGCCCCGCTACAGCCCGCCGTCGGCCCCGCTACAGCCCCGCTACGGCCCGCCGTCGGCCCCGCCGCCCGTGCTGCAGCCCGCCGCGCCACCGTGCAGCCGCCCGTGCAGCCGCCCACCGTGCCGCCCGTGAGCCGCCCCAGCCGCCCGTGAGCCGCCCGTGCAGCCGCCCGCGCCGCCCGTGAGCCCCTGCGTCACCCGAGCCGCGCGAGCCGCGCGGGCCGCGCGAGCCGCCCGAGCCGCCCGAGCCGCCCGAGCCGCCCGAGCCGCCCGAGCCGCCAAAGGAGCTGCACTCCTGCTCCTGTGGGGCCACTGCTGCTCCTGGGCTGTGTTACTGTGCCGCTGACCTGCCCGACTTTTCCTGCCCGGTGAGACTGTCAGCTGCTGTCATGGCCACCCCCACTGTCCTAGCTTTTGACGCTGAGGGTAGAGCCATTGACTTTGCAGTCTGGATTGAAGACCTGCAGCTGTACTTACTGTGTGATGCGATAGATGAGGTCTCTCTCTTTGACTTTGTCTCTGGCGCTGTCCCTGCCCCTCCTGCTGATGCTGACCCCGCCGTTCGCTCCAAGTGGGCGACCAGCGATGCTGCTGCACGTCTTGCTGTGCGTCGCCACCTCCCTTCCTCCGAGCGCGCCTACTTTAGTCAGTGCAAGACCGCTCAGGCCCTGTACGACGCTGTAGTTGCACGCTACTCCTCCCCTTCCTCCGCTACGCTTAGCCTCCTCATGCTACCGTTTCTCTTCCCTGACCTCGCTGCCTTTCCCACTGTCGCTGACCTCGTTACCCACCTCCGCTCTAGTGTCGCTCGCTACCGCGCTGCCCTTCCTGCTGAGTTCCGCGCCGCAAACCCTCCTCCCATGTACATCACTCTCTACTTTCTCGTCACCCGTCTCCCTGAGTCCCTTCGTGTCGTTAGGGACCAGTTTCTCTCTGTCTGTCCCACCACCCTCACTGTCGACCTCCTTGAGGAGTCCCTGCTAGCGGCTGAGAAGAGCATCGTCGCTGTGGGGGCCTCTCGGGGTGACCCTCGCACCCCCATCTTTGAGGGGTGTTCTCCTTCCCCCCTGCTGCCCTCTGTCGCCTCTGCCGCTGCGGCCGACCTCGCTGGTTTTGAGTCGGTCGGTGCGGCGTCTGCCCCCAGCGGTAGACGCCGCTCTGGCAAGGGCAAGGGGGGCAAGGGAGCGGGTGGAGCTAGAGGGGGCAGTGGCGGAGGAGGTGGGGGTGGCGGAGGGAGTGGGGGTGGCGGTGGAGGTGGTGGCGGGAGTGGAGGTACTGGTGGAGGCGGTGGAGGCGGAGGTGGCGGCGGAGGCGGTAGCGGAGGAGGCGGGGGCGAGGGTACCGGTGGGGGCGGTGGCGGTGGAGACGGGGGTGGCGGTGGAGGCGGGAGTGGCGGTGGCGGCGGGGGTCGGAGTGGCTCGTCCCAGCGGAGCAGCTATGGGGGTGGCCAGCGCCAGCAGCAGCAGCAGCAGCAGCAGCGCTCTCGCACCGTCCCCGCCCCTCAGCAGCTCCGTGAGTGGTACTTGCAGCGTCAGCGTGGTGGTGCGTTTGGTCCCTGCCCCTACGTTCTTCGCACCGGTGACCGTGCGGGGGAGAGGTGTGGAGGCACCCACACAGCCCGCCGCTGCTTTGGCCGCCTGACCGACGCATGGCGTCAGCAGTTTCCGGAGGCCGCTGAGATCCCCCGCTGGGGGGAGCTGTCTAGGGCTGGTGTAGCCATTTATGATCTTGACTTTGATGCTATTCTTTCTGCTATGTATGCTGTGACTGTTAGTGATGAGGATGACTGTTACCGGTGTTTCCCGCCCGACCCGGGCATTGGTACTGCTGCGTCAGGTGCTAGTGAGGCTGCTGCTCTAGGTGCCAGTGCGTCTGTGCTCTCAGGTACTTGTGAGTCTGCCCTCTCAGGTACTGTGTCGGCTTCGGCCTCTCACACCTTCACCCTTGACTCTGGAGCGTCTCGCTCCTTCTTTCGGGACCGCACCACTCTCACGCCGCTGAGTCGGCCGGTTGCGGTGTCCCTGGCTGACCCCTCTGGGGGGCCTGTCCTGTCTCGCTTCTCCACGGTCCTTCCGTGTCCGGCGGCCCCCTCTGGCACCCTGTCTGGTCTCTACCTCCCCTCGTTCTCGACGAACCTGGTGAGTGGTGCTGACCTACAGGATGCGGGTGTCCACCAGTTCACTCCTGCTCGTCAGCGAGTGACCCACTGCACGGAGGCTAGCACGGGACGCCACCTGGATACGTTTACACGTCGGCCAGGGTCGAGCCTGTACACACTGACCACTGCTTCTCCTCCAGGTGCTGAGTCTGGTAGGGTCCCTTCGTCCGGTCAGGTGTTTGCCGCAGCGTCCAGGTCTGGTCCTGAGTCTGCCCCCTGTTCGTGTCGTCGTCTGTCTCACGAGACCCTCCTCTGGCACCACCGCCTTGGCCACCCCTCTCTGCTTCGGCTCAGAGGCATGGCCTCCCGTCTTCTTGTGTCTGGTCTCCCCCGGTCTCTACCTCCCCTTCCTCAGGGCCCTGGCCCTGCCAGTGTCCCCTGTGTCGAGGGGCGCCAGCGTGCTGCCCCTCACTCCTCCCAGTTTCCTCCGACAGAGGCCCCGTTGCAGACGCTTCACATGGACGTGTGGGGCCCAGCCCGCGTCCTTGGACAGGGTCAGGAGCGCTACTTCCTGCTCGTTGTTGACGACTACTCGCGTTACACCACAGTCTTCCCCTTGCGCAGCAAGGGTGAGGTCACTGAGGTGCTGATCGACTGGATCCGCGCAGCTCGTCTTCAGCTCAGGCAGAGCTTTGGCTCCGGCTTTCCTGTGTTGCGTCTGCACTCGGACAGAGGCGGAGAGTTCTCCTCTGGCCTTCTGCGTGCCTACTGTCGTGCGCCAGGCATCCGCCAGTCCTTCACGCTTCCGGACTCCCCACAGCAAAATGGGATTGCTGAGCGCCGCATTGGCATGGTCATGGACGTCGCCCGTACGTCCATGATGCATGC